GTGTCTTACATGAGGGCTAGAATCTTTATCTATATACTACTAAAACTCTCATTATGTTTATCTGTTTGTCTGTTTGTACCCTCAAGTTAGCCCAAATGCTGCATTAGACTGCAACAATTTTTGAATCAAGGTACCTAAAATCCGTTTAAAGAATGCGTAAAAAATCTGGGACCCATTACTCCTGTGGAATTGAAATTTCCACAATGTTCAGACTAGTTTTATTCGCAAAGTTGCAGCTGTTGCAGCGTCCCCGCGGTCACATGATTGTGATTTCTGACACTTCCTGCCAGCTTCCCACAAGCAAAGTCAATGGGGAAGCTGGCAGGAAGCTGGAAGTCACTCCCACTCTCAGTGCTCTTTTGCCTGCCATGGTCATTCTGTTTATCTATTTAGGTAAGTAATTATTGACTTATTATTAAAGTTTGTTTGCCACTACAACTACTTTTCTGTTTATGATATATACTCTTCTTAGATGATCACAAAACCGTCCAGCATTGGGGTAAAAGATAATATGGTCAGCCTAAAATGTAGTGTTCATTCTGGTCACATCAGACTGCACTACCTTTCTCTCAAAGGATGACCCAGTGGGTTACAGGGTTGACTAGAAAATCCTCAAAACTAGATGTTAAATACAGAACAACGCAGTAGACCCCATTCTTCAATGTAGAGGAACACTCACAGGCTTAGCTACATTTCTACAATATTATCAATGACCTTCCAGTAGAAATAAATTAAGCTGAACAACTTTTCATCAGGCTTACAAAATTCTGAATATCAAATACTGAATCTTTAGCAAATAAGTGCCTTTTGACTGAGCTTCGGGTTTAATGGTGCTTGGATATTACTTTTATTGACTTGCTTAGCAGTACTATTTCAAAGACATTTCTTTGCTTAAAGGTTAACCTCTCAGCAGGGGTGAAGCTCAAATACTCTCTTCTTTGCTTTGCTGGAAATTAATCCCTTTTGTTCAAGCAACTCTTGCAGGCCACACCAGAAAGGAAACCCACAGTTGCAAAAGTAGGCTGGTTCCTTTGTCACTATGCAAACAAGGCAGGCAGAAGTCTTAGGAAGCAAAAGAGGGGCTCAGTACTGCACAAACTGAAAGTCCCTATCAGTAGGACCACTTATTTCTTTATCTGGTTGGGTGGTTGGTTAGTGTGGTTTTATCCTGAGCTCCAGGCAGAACTCACAGCCTCCAATGTCTCCAAACACTGACAGACAAACTAACTGGCCAAAAGTTACTCCTTGACTTGGCTGCTTCTAGGGTGCCATTTGTGGTCCATTCTACCGCTGGCCCCTTTTGGTCAGCCTGATAGTGACCAATTATTGTGGACTCCTCCCCTCTTTGAACAATCTTACTCAGAGGCCGCATTACCTAAATGCATGTTTTTCCTTTTTCTCTCTCCACCTTATTGTACTGTACTTCTAAAACTGCAATCCACCTTTCTGATGTGCTATGACTGCAGCTTGCAGAATATCCAGCCAACAAGTCTATAATGCTGGGAGAAGGGGAAGGTGTGATTTAGAGTGCACCAGGCTAGGAAAACCCAGAGTGTGCCATTATTTTAAAACTACGGAATACACTGAAAGCACAGGCAGAAATATATTATGTATGTATGTGAATGTGTATTGATTGGCTATGTGACATCAAGTCGGTGTTGATTCTTAGCAACCACATATAGATAGATTTTCTCCATGACGATCAGTTCCCAACCTGCTCCTTCAGGTCTTCCATTGGTGCCCCCATCACCACTGTAATGGAGTCCATCGACCTTGATGCTGGTCGTCCTCTCCTTCTCTTTCCTTCCACCTTTCCCAGCAATAGAGCCTTCTCCAGAGAGCTGTGTCTTCACATAATGTGTCCAAAGTAAACAAGTGTATATATACATCAAAATGGTTTTCTTTTCATGGCCATGGAGGGGATGCTGAGATTAATGAATCAATGCCACCCCACTTAGGTTCAGTCAGATTTTCCTGAACAACAGTTCCCAGCATCCTTAGGCTAGGAGTTCTAGCTATAGTTTAGCAAGATTTTGAAGGCCTAAGGCTGCACATCCCGACACCAGGCAGAGATCTGAGAAAAGGTATCTTTTTCTGCAATTGTGATTACCACTACTATCCTAGTCTGTACTGGGAGAGACCACCTAATTAATCCATTAATTAACTATTCAAGAAGAAGCAACTCTTTGGAGTGGGGAAAAAAATGGGCCATTAAGCACTCCAAAACTGGCAGCAGAATTTAAAACAAGCCCCTTAATCTGAAAGAGGTTGTTGAAACATCTGGCTGGTGTAATGCAAGTTTTTGTTTTAAACCAAAACCACTGAATCCAAAACCACTGAAGAAAGGAGAGACCTGCTCAACAACAAAATATCATCCAACGCTCCTCACTGAACTTTCCCATGGGCTTCTTTTGTCTGAGGCAAGACCATGTTTCTGTTCAACTTTCAACCCACATTGCATCAAATTAGATTGACAATACACGGGGAGCAACTGACAAACTTTGCAGAATCTTAATTCTCAGGTATGCCAACGTTTTAACTATACTACTGCTTTTCACAGATAGAATTTTAATGAGCCCCAAGCACAAAGGATGTGCATAGGGCCACCAGCAGAAACGCAACAACTCTGCAAATCAGGACTTATTTATTAAATTTGTATGCTGTCCTTCAAACTGAGACTTTCCCAGAACAACTTCCAATGCAGTAAAATCACAGAAGAACAAATATTCAGAACAGTAATTAAGACCCATCAGCAATAAAACCATAAAAGCAGTAGCCAGAAGCCTGATGCTCAAGATGGCTTCATACTCCCATCAAAAATGATGGAGCGGGTGGTGAGAGAAGACAGAAATGTGCTCCCTTCTCTTCAGGGGTGGAAGGTGTTCTCTACATTAGAAAAAGACAAGTGGGGGTGCAGCATCATGTGCAGGAGACACACTCCATTCCTAGCACAGCCATGACACAGTTTTCCAACTTGAGCAGGTTCTGTGGCAAGTTTTGGAAGAGGGTGTCTAACAGAGTAATGTAACCATGTTGGTTACTTAAAAAAAATCTGAATAGCAGCTTGACATCTGATAACTGTTGAGCTTGAAAACATCAACCTCCCCATGATATTTTCAACCTGGCCAGCTACTAATCTGCCATTTTTACTGACAAGGCGAGTAGGCAGGTAGAATTGTTATAAAGACAGGTCTGTAAAACAGCCTTGAAAAGAGGCAAATAAGGCTTCTGGGGGAGGTATGGTGAACTGAAGACGGCTCTGCGAAAGTGGAGCCAATGACTGGCAAAGACCAAGGAACTGGTGAGTAGACCAGTTCCTCAGAACCTCTCCGGATAAGAAGAAGATGGGAGATTGCCTACATGTGCTCTGGATGGCTGCTCCTTACAAGGAGACCACAGGACAGCAGTTTTCTGCAGGTTTGAGAGCCAGGAGATGACAGAATTAGCCATCTTGCTCGCAATTGTGGCAGAGACTTTTAAAGGACACTACGGTGGCAAACGTCACTTTCTAATCACTTTCAGAAATTGCCCATTAACTATTTCTAAGTTATTAGAGACCTTCGGAATGACACATTGGAAAACGCTGGGGAGTCTGCCTTCAATACTGAACAAAAGAAAATTTTAATTTTAAAACTTCAGAGAGGGTGAAGAGTTATTAAATTTGTTTATACTTGTGATGAACGTTGGAAGTCACTTCTTTATATATTTCTTTTTTCTTTATCATATTCTTACTTTTCTCTTCTCTTTTTTTAACGTTCTTTTTCCTTGCACTTTTTACTCCTCTCTATTCTCTTTTCTTTCTTTAAGCTTAGTTAGATTTAGTTAGATTTTACTATTATAATCAAATTTCTTAATAAAAAATTATATATATAAAAAAAGAAAAGAGGCAAATAAAAATTCCTAGCACACAAGTTTGTTTCCAGGCCTCCATCACCACATTGGCTGTGTAAGAGGGGAAGCTCCTTCTACTGCAGGAACAATATTGGAATGGATGCTGGTAAACAAAAATGGTTTGTTTGCCACCTAGCAGGCTGGGGGAGGATCAGCAGCATCTGCTGTGAGATGGTCAAAACAGGCAAGATGGCAGACGCAGCATTGTGATGCAAGCTCCAGATGCCACTATGGAGGATGGAAAGCCATGATAAGCCTCCTTTTGGCAAACTGCCTTCTTTTAGACAGCAAAAAAATAAAATAAAATAAAATAAAATAAAATAAAATAAAATAAAAAACCACAAAGCAACAAGCCAGGGAGGGAGGGATGGGCAATATAATTCCTCCCTCCTTTGCCAGCTTGCCACTTTTTTGTCACGTATGGAGCTTGAGCAGATTGTTAAAACACAAGGCTGACTGAAAGCATCCCACAGTCTACAAATGCATCCAACACAATAAACCCTCAAGTGAACGGGATAATGGGGAGAAAGGTGCCTATTAAAGCCAAACATCCAGTAAACTGAGAGTTTACCTTAACCCTAATAACCAGGAGGACACGGGTGGGGGATGCTGTCTCCCCTCTGTCCTCAGCAGTTTACACAGTGGCCCATCCCACCTGGCAGCCAGCCCATCCACAACCTTCCTAGCCCTCTCCCTCCTTCCCTTGCCACCCCAAAGCCCTATAGGAGCAGATCCTTACGCAACAGATTTAGTCTATTAAATATGAGGTGCACTAAACCAAAGTCTGTTAAATCAAAGGCTTACTGTACAATTACATGAAGCGCAGCCAAAGTAAACGTTTGTCTAAAAATGGAACGAGGGAGGCATGATCAGAAAGCAGAATCTGCTCCAACTAGATTGTCTCTCCCTTAACACCAACTGGTTTTCAGGAGCAACATTTTAAATCAATATGATTTTGGGGACCAATCATTTAATACATCTGTTATTATATTTTAAAAAAATTAGTACAGCAACACTGCCAAAATTAGCATCATTAAAAGCAGGATTGGTATTAAGGCAGAAAAAACTGAGAAGAAAAAAACAGAAGGTGGGCAATCATCAGGAATTACCTCTGAGAAGCATTTTTTTAGGCTGTCGGGGACTTTCCCATCAACTATGTGAAGCATCCTCTCCATCTCTTCACGGGCAACATAGCTCCCAGATTCATTAGAAAACAGGCTGAAAATATCTAAGAAAGAAGACAAAACAATGTATACAGAGCTAAATAACTATTTCTGTGCAAGTCAGACTTCTGATACTGAGCTGGTGAGGCCCATTATTTCATATCATTTTAGAAACAGGGATGGTTATGCTCATAAAAAGCTCTTTACAAAAAAATCTATACAATTCTTACAGCCATCTGATATTTTTACTGCAAAAAAGCATGACATTTTATGTAAAATAAGTATCACAACCAATACTGTATCTAGATCCTCAGTCTCACCAAGGAGCTTAAATCTCCTGGAAATACATATGAACCTTCAATCCTGAGATATTAGCACCTTAGCATTGTTGGGTCAACACAAAGTAGCCTTTGTGGAGTTAAATGAAATGCTCAGCCTACTGGATGCAATAGTGTTTAAACTAGGTCAGCAAGAGCCAGATTCCAAACCCTACTCAGCTATGGAGCTCCTCTCAGGGTTGATTTGAAGATGAATACACTACAGAAATGATTTTCTTGGAAACTCCTTAGCCTATTGCAAGCACTCAGTGGAAGCAGATTCTGTTCCTCAGCAAATTCTTGAAACCACAGACTCCTCCGATTCTCCATTACCACGCTGTATCAACTTTACAAGGGCCAATTGTTGTATCTAATTTGGCCCTAAATGGGATGCAAAGGAGTTATTTAGGAAGAGAAGCTGCTGAAGAAACCTCACTTCCTGTGGGTTTTGAAAGACAAAAGCAGCCTTCCCCCGCTCTCATGTTGGACTACACCTTCCATAAGTCCTCAACCAGATGCCAACATGCTTTGGCATGATGGGGGGCAAAGACTGTAATCCAACACCCATTGAAGGCACTGGGTAGGGAAAAGGCAGAGAAAGAACATCACGGATTCTTTGCACAAGCCTTAGGACTTCAAGGAACAGAAGGACTCCCTTTGGCATAGGAAGTCCAATTTTCAAACAGGCTCATAACTGAAATTAAGCTGTACAATTGTGAAAACTCCAACTGAGCTGGAACACATATCCACACGTGCCTACCTTCCCTTCCAAATATTACTGGTACTTACATTTGGCTTTCTCTTCATCTCGGCCCCTTGTAAGGAGGACTAAGCCCACTATCAGGTTATTGAAATGTAGTCCTTTCGATGTGCCACCAAAAGAACAGTATATGACCTGAAAGTGAATACGAGAAAATGTAAATCAGGGTGATCAGTATAGAAAATTCTCTAGTCCTCAAGCAAGACTACTGCCGCTGCTTTCAAAAATAAAGAAAAGAGAGCTTAGAAGTCCTTCTACTCTACTGAATCTGTCATTTACAATTTAAAAAAGGACAAGAGAAGTGGGTTGCAAATCAAGGATGACCCCATTTCAAACTCTGCCTCTGCCATGAACTCACTTGATGGGTTTAGTCAAAGATCTTAATTTTGTAATCTGGGAAGAAATAAAGCCAGCTTGCTTTATAAGGTTGTTAGCTCCTAACCTGATAAATGCACATGAAGCACTTTGTACACCTGAAAGCATTATGCGTTACCTTTATGAGCAGTTGGCCCCAATTCAGTGGCATATGATGCTCAGCCTAGTCCAGTGTTTCTCAACCTTGGCCACTTTAAGAAGTATGGACTTCAACTCCCAGAATTCCCCAGCCAGGACGCACTGGAGTAGTCCTTTCTTCAGCTATTACGTACCTATGAGTAGGGCCCAACATTCTTCCTTAGCTCACAAGCACTGCAGCTGTCGTCTTCCCTTGCCCATAAGCCTTTCACTCATTTATCCTCATTGCACATGCACAATATATCATATTACTTATAAGTTCCCTTCCAGGTTGAAGTGCAAGATGATTATTTATAGGTCCAGCAGTCATGTGAGAAGTCACCCTGGGACAAATCTCCCTCTGCTCTTAAAATAAAAATAACACGGCCTGGCCTGGAACTCCAACCACAAGCATCAGCCATGGCATGATCTGCAGGTCCAGAAGCACTTGGGACTTTTCTGTCGTGGCTGGAATTTATATCCGCCTATACATAACAAGGATGTTCCCAGAGTAATTGGCCCATCTCCCTTCTTCAACTAAACGTTTCCGGAAATCTCTAACTGGTGAACACAAGAGCTCTCCTACAGGCTATAAACTGGCCAAGAGCAGCTCCCAGTCCTTCTTGCAGGTCTCTCAGCTTCTCACTGGTTGGCCAGGCAGATGCCTGGCTAAAAAAGAGCTGTTTAATTCACAACATCTCCTGAACTCTCCCTGAGCCTGTAGCAAATGCTAGTCCTAAACCAGCTTTCAAACTGCAGGTGAAATTTCTCCTTCCCATCCTTCTAAGACGTGAAAGAGAAGTCCTCTGGAAGCTGCTGCCTGTTCTCAGAGGTCTTCTCCTGCATCACTCCCAGACTGTGGAATGCTTTCCCAGTGTTGGACTCTCAGTCGACTTCGTAAAAAATTCAGAGAGGTACATCTCTTTCACCCAGCCTTTAATTGTTAAAGTATGGTCACAGCAATTGTTAATTTTAGTCTGCGTTAACTTGGTAGACTTTACTTTTATATTCAACTGTTGTTAGCTGCCCTGAATGCTTGCCAAAGTAGAAAGGCAGGTATACATTCTATAAATGAATCTAAATCATAAACAAGCCACAGCCACTGCCATCACCATCCAAAGAGGACAACAATGATATTTTTATCCTCTCTTTTGATTTTTATCCATCTATTCATCCATCCATCTCAAGGCCACAAACACAATACTTCTGCCTCCTATTTTCCCCATAACAACAACCCTGTGAGGTAGGTTGGGCTGTGAGGGAGTGACTGGCCCAAAGTCCCCCAGCCAGCTTTCATGATGGGTCAGGATCGGGGCTTGCGTTCTTCTTCTCAGAGGAAACACAGGATGTTTGGACAAGGGAGGGGGGAACACAGTCACAGGTCTTCTCAGCAATGGCTGCTGTGCTTGATCTTCCCTCCTATCCTCTGCAAACCCAATGCTTGGCAAGAGCCAATTCCCAGGATTCTCCATCTGTGGGGCCTTTTGGGTTTCTGGGAATTGCAGCCCTGCAATAGGGAGGTGCCATGTCAGGAGGCCACTTTGAAAGACAGCGGAGAACACAGGAGGCACGGAACAAAGCATTGCAGTCATTCTGGATTCAAGCCATCCAGCCCTTTGTTCCCCTTTCCTCCATGGTCATCTGGTCCCTCATCAGACTTTCAAACCTCCCTGAGCGTTCCACACTCATCTTCACATTAGGGTATTTTTAAAATTATTATTTCTTGAAAGATTTCTGAGCAGATGTGTACTTTTACTTGGTTCCCCATTCTCTGTAATTATTTCCATCTTCTGCACAGGTGATTTTGCTCTGGGTACCAAAAACCTACACTTTGAGAGCTGGCTTTGCTCATTAATATGTTGTGGAGATAAAGTTTCTTCAGTATTGCAAATATAGATTAATTTCTTCTCCTGTATCCAGTCTTTGAGGCCGAACATCTTCTAAGGAAACTGCAGGAACGGCATAATGGACATCGGCCACCATCCTGAAGTTATCTCTACAATGCTGTTTTTTAAATTACCAGAATTTAAGAGCTGGAGGTGTGCAGTGTGACCTGATTAACATATCTTCAGTAACATCAATGTTTTGACTAATCCTTTGTGCAGAAATCTAGCTAAGGACCTTACTGGCAAGGCAACTACAGAGACACCTGGCTGATTTGATTAAGGGGGTATTTGGAGACCACAATGAATAGGAAACTTAAGCCTTTGGGGTGGGGGATGTTTTTATTACTTTACAAGATTGATGTAGTTCAGCTTAGTTTTTTTTAACAAAGTTGAAAATGCAAAGTACTAGACAGAAAAGAAATTAAGTCTGGTTGGCTAGGGAAACATTATCACCACAGATAACAGTACAAAATAATCCTATGTTTATTTTGGCTCCAGGAACAGTCAACATGTTCCAAGGCACCTGTCAAATGTTCTCTTTGCTTTGAAACCTGGCAAAGTGCTGCTACAAAACACGGCTCTTGTAAACCACTTCTTTCCTCGCTGAATTCAGCTTCTGTTGGTATTTCGCTGGGTGGAAAGAATATTTTTGCAGATTGTCAGGGATGTCTGCACATGTATTAAGCAATCTTGCCATTTTAAAAACCCAAGATTTAATTGTGAAAGGGTTCTCAGTCCCCCCCCCCATTTCAAACGCTAAGGATAAGAGCAGAAGCGGATTCCGCTTCCAAATGGGACTGAACCGGAGAAGCAGGGGAGAGGCCGCTTTTCAGAATGTCCCAGTTAATCCAAAAGGAGCCCTTCCCTCAAAAACAGCCTTCCTTATTGAAATGGCAGCCATCCACGGCTTGAATCCAACACATTTCCCAGACTGGTGAGCATGCAAGTGGGAACTGCACACACAGAAGATTAAAAAGGGCAACACTGGCCCTCTGGACTAACAAGCAGTATTGGACCTCTGGATCAGCTCCATAGAGCAGTGTTTCTCAACCTCGGCAACTTTAAGATGTGTGGACTTCAACTCCCAGAATTCCCCAGCCAGCCT